AATACATTCGTCCATGTCCAACAGCTCTTCTTTCATTTTGGCGACAATTAACATTATCTCGATCGAGCCTATTTCTTTCATTTTGGCGACGATTAACATTATCTCAATAGAGCCTATTTCTTTCATTTTGGCGATGATTAACATTATCTCGATCGAGCTTATTTCTTTCATTTTGGCGACGATTAACATTATCTCGATCGAGCCTATTTCTTTCATTTTGTAAACAATTAATTTTATCTCGCCTAAGCCTATTTCTTTCATTTCGTCTAGGATTATTTTCAACACGCCTTATAGCACTTACATCATCTTGTAAAAACAAAACTACATCTAGCCTATCATCCATTTCTATGTCATCATTTTCATTAAACATATTTATCAAAGCAACACTAACTATTTCTTTTTTTTTTTATTAATATAAAGTTAACAATAAAATAAAAAAACTTAATAACTAAAAAAATCATACTCGAAAAATTAAAAAAAAAAATTTCAAAACAAATATATATAAAGAAACCAAACAAATGCAAAATAAAATTAATTTGCCATCATCAAAAGTAATACAGGTTTCTTAAGTTTATTTGATAGAAGTTAAGAAAAACCTGCAACCACATCAGCAAAAACTTATTAAAACTTATTTTATTTCTAATAGAAAAAAAATAAAAAATTGCGACAGCGTCATAGTTCATGCGTTGAGAGAAAACATTGAACAAAACACGTAATAAAACTTATTAATGCATTATTAATGCATTATGTACGATAGAAAACAGGTTATTAACGCGGGTTTATAAATTTTTTCTCCTAACACACTATTATGCTGCCGCAACTTCAAGGATATATATAGTTATATATAGTTATATATATGTATATATGTATATATATATATATATATATATATATATATATATATATATATATTATATATATATATATATATATATATATATATATATATATATATATATATATATATATATATATATATATATATATATATATATATATATATATATATATATATATATATATATATAGAGCTAATTATTAGTGAAAACATATAAAAAACCAAAATTTTTTATATATATATATATATATATAGAGCTATTTATTAGTGAAAACATATAAAAAACCAAAATTTTTTATATAATATATATAGTATATATTTGATAAATAAACCTCTACAATTTCTTTGGTTCAACAACTCGATAATGATTAATAACAACTCTGTAAACATGAATTTTCTAATAATTTAAATCTTAATAAATTATAACAATTAACTACTTATTTAAACAAATAATTACTTATTGAATTTTAAAAAGATTTTATATATACGTAATGTCTACTTAGAAATACTTAATGTCTATTTATACATTAAAAAGATCTACAATTTTGAAAACCTGAAACTTTAAATCTACCTCAAAAAAAACAGATATATATTGAAAAGTATTTTTATTTCTTTTTAAAATTTTAAAAATGCTTTTTAACTTACTCCCTCCAATATTATTATATAATTTATAGTATATATTGATAAATAAACCTCCACAATTTCCTTGGTTTAACAACTTTTATAAACTTGGTTTAAAAAAATTTCTAATAAATACATATTTAGATACCTTAAAATGAAGCATAACACAACACTCTTTTGACAAATTCCAGTAGAAATTTTCTTAATTTTTTTATTCCTTATTATTTTTCCTTAGAGAATATATATATGTAGATATAGAGAAATATAAAATAGACTGAAATAAATCGAAAACCTTAATTTATGTATGAGAAAATAACTTGAACTTACTAAAAAAGCGATCAGCTCCTCATAACTGCTCTAAAAAATAAAACAAATACTGCTTAAAATGTTTTAAAAAGACTAACGACAAAACTGTTTTCTTAAAAAAGAAACATTGTACAAAAAAACTATTTTACCAGTCAATTTAGTTCTAACTTATTCTAAAAAATGAAAAATAAATACATATTTAGATACCTTAAAATGAAGAATAACACAACACCCTTTTGACAAATTCCAGAAGAAATTTTTTTTATTTTTCTATTCTCAATTATTTTTGCTAAGAGAAAATACATATAGATATACATATATATATACATAGCAAACTAACAATTATTTAAATTTTTATTTTAAAAAATAAACAACATTAATTCTTCTTGAAAATAAATGCATCAGCTCCATTTTGATTGCTGATTTTACTCGAGTGACCGCGTGGAATATATAACTGCGCTTAGAAAATTCTAGAGGCAAAGAAATAGTGTATTTTACATAATGCAGAACCGTAATTAACAAAACGAACAATAGGCGTAACAATGCGTAACTATGCGCACTAATGATAATATTCATAGGCTATTCATTATAGGCGGATGATTTTTCAATATATGGCTGAATGATTGCCGAATGGCATGAAACTTGAAGTCCCATAAAAAAGTCGTATTTTTTTCATTTAAATATTTAATATATATATATATATATATATATATATATATATATATATATATATATATATATATATATATATATATATATATATATATATATATATATATATATATATATATATATATATATATATATTTTTTTTTATAGTGTCGTCGAAAGAGACTTTTATGGTAAAAAAAAGTCTATTTCGACTACAAATTTTTTACTTTGTCTCCTAAGTCTCATTTTATTGTCATCGAAATGTCAAAGCAATTAAATTAAGCAGAAGTACATTAAATTTTATTGTTTTTTATAAAAACCGCAATAATAATGACAAGAAAGTTTATTTAATTAGTGGTGTTTTTGTTTTTGTTTTATTAAAAAACTTTTTTAAAACATCTGTAAGTGTTGTTACATCGACTACCTTATAGCCTGCTGCTACAAGGGAGTGTTGTTACATCGACTATCTTATAGCCTGACTCGCAAGGGAGTGCTGCTACATCGGCTGACAAATAGCCTGACTCGGAAGGGAGTGCTGCTACATCGACTGATAAATAGTTGTGCTACTAAATTGTTTTTAGAGTCCAGCGTAAATGGAATGTATAGATAGAATTTGTAATGGAGTAGAATTATTCGTTTTATAAGTAGTCACCATGTGTTTTTTATTATTAGGATGATAAACATATTATAGATATAAGTGTCAAGAACGTCTCGAGTACAGTATGGATTTGTGCCGTATGGTGCAGTATGATTACTCGAAGACCTCCAGCTTTCATCCGAGACTGGTATCCCAAAAGAAGTTCCACTCTGGTTCTATATAAGGGCATCTTTTTAAGGTATCCAATTGTGTTATCATAAAAAGACTATTCTCAGAGTATCCAATCAGGACGATTGCCACAGACTCCTGAATTGATACTGGGATCAGAGGACACTTATCGGTGTTCAGTACAACTTGCAAACAATAGTAACTAGTTTTTTGACTTGAGTGTCCGTGTTTTTTGACTTGAGTGTCCAGTGTTTTGTCAAAGTGTAGCATGGGTCAATGTGGACTGCTTTGAGTTCATTTAGGTATGTGTAATGTAAATAGATTATGTGGTTTACGTGTGTAACTATTGTAGTAGCATGCCTCAATAGTAAGCGTTATCAGTACAAAAAATAGTTAAAGGTCCTTTAATTTAGTGTAACATAAGCTAGGCGTGATTTTTAGTAGTCCTATGACGTGTTTTTGGAGAATAAACAAACTATTATAACTAGATGTTCTAAAATATTAAACTAGAATTACATTAATATAACAAGAAAAACTAATATGTATATTTATTAACTAACAATCTTTATAAAAATTACCACTAATACATAACATTCATATGGAGATTTTTAGTTTCACCGGTTGATATAAGGTTTTAAAAAAGTGTTTGGTATATTGTATAAGTAAAAAAAATCACAGTGCAAAAGTCACGTGACTGTGATGTTACGAAAAGTATTTAAAATGGAGTAGAATTATTCGTTTTATGAAAATCATAGCCTATTTTTTGCTTAACAATATTCTTAGTTACTTGTGTCTTAAGCTATCAGATGATGTATGTAGCAGAATCGGATTAGAGTTATTTGTTTTTTAAGTAGACATCTGATGATGTATGTAACAGAACTTGATTAGAATTTTTCGTTTTTTAAGTAGTTATCAGATGATGTATGTAACAGAGCTGGAGTAGAATTATTCGTTTTTTAAGTAGTTGTCAGATGGTGTATGAAAGAGAGCTGAAGTAGAATTAATCGGTTTTTAAGTATTTGTCATATGTATGTCACAGAGCTGGCGTTGAGTTATTCGATTGTTAAGTAGTTATCAGATGGTGTACAGGGTTGGCATTAAAAAACCCGCCCAATAAAACCCAATAAAACCCGCCTAAAAAAACCCAATATAACCCAGGCAATCTGGGTTTTTTTGAAATGTATCTAAAAACTTATGAACTATTATATTAATAATATATACTATTATTAACCAACATTTCTGAAAACATAAACATATTATAGAGCTAGCTATAAAGGGAAATTTTCAATTTAAACACAGCATTTTTATTTAACACAATTTTATTTTGGAAACCAAACAAATTAGATTCATTCAATAAGATTTTTTAGAATAGATACACATTGACAAGACTATTTACATTTTTGGTTTACTTCTTGCAAATACAACTTTAATTTAACGTAATATTCACTTTATATTGTAAAAGCATAAACTCTAATGTAAAAACATAAACTTTAAACTATTTTTGATACTGTTTATATATTTGCACAAGCTTTTTAGCCTTTTCACATCCTAATTTATTTCTAACTTTTGACCAAATAAAATCAAATGAAGAAAATATTCTTTCTATTGATCCTGAGCTAGCAGGCCACGTTTGAAGTTTAGAAATAAATTTGCATAATCCTTCAGGCAATTTTTTCTGAATTGATTTTTCATTTCTCTGGTTAATGATAGACCACCAATCACTGCACAATATTGTTGATATAATTTGATTACTCAACATCCTTTTAGGAAATGCATCACAATCCTTTAATTTAAGCAAAATCAACCCAGGTACAAAGTCAGGATAATGATTGTAAAGCCATTCTTCAGCCTCATCTTCATTTTCAATCGGCAGGTTTTTGCCTATAAAAAAAAATTCAGATTAGCATATAGGTGTGAAAACAATTGTTTTTTTTAAGCAAAACTTATTTTTACCCAAAAAGCGAGGATTGGTCATGTATGCAAGATAATGGATAGGTGTCAAAGCATCATTACATCTCTTTTTGATAGCTGTGTGGTAATGACTTAGTTCAGGGTTATTCAGAAGTGAGAGCCACAACTCAACACATTCGGATAGGTGACAGCTGTCACTTTGCATCTAGAAAAAATTTAATTTTTAATTTATTTAATTAACATAATATATTTATTTTTATTACTTTTCCTTTACACCTACAAAATCTTATTATGTAAAAAAAACTTTAATATAAAAAAAATTAATACTTGATCTAAAACAACACGAAATATTTTGAGTTGGGTTTGAAGACTGTTAGCTTCTCTAAATATTGCTCGATTTTCAATAATTTTTCTGATTTTGATAGGTATTTCATGATTATCTACTATTTCTACATAAATTTGGTAGTTTTTTATGTATGTTTCAATACAGTCAATTTGGGAGTTCCATCGGGTATCGTTTGGTAACTGAGGCATATGCCCTCCTTTCTCACGCAACCATCCCTTAAAATAAAAATTGAATAGCTAATTTTAAACTTTTATATACTTTTTATACTCTAAGTTTAACCCACAAATACAAAATAATGTTTACATGCGGTTGATGTGTATTACGAAAATATTTCTGCACTTCAACCACATGTTTGATGACATCTGGGTGTGTTACTTCTTTTTCTAAAAGGTTTAAATAATGTGCAGAACACCCATATGTTAAAAGATTTGGATACGTTTCTTTGATTGAATCCCTCATTTTTTTCATCTTATTTTCATTATCTGTTACCAAAGCAAATACTTCTTTATTGTATGTTTCTTTAAGATCTTTAATGACATTACAAAGGAGTTCGGTACAATACTTGGCTGTTTTTTTAATTGATGCACAATTAGTAATGCATAAAATTTTAGAATTAAGTCCGTCATATGCACTGTGAGCAATAATGGGATCATTAGTAACACTACTCCATCCGTCTTGCATAATTGTTATTGTTTTCTCTTCTTGGGTAAGTTGATCCATCATTTTTTTGTTTATTTCCTCATAAACTTTTTCTAAGAGCTCTCCTCCAAGCATTTTACGGTTAGGTGGATTATATCCTGGTCTCAATAAATTGATCATGTGTATAAATTCTTGATTTTCAGAAGTTTTAAATGATACATTTGCACTGAAGAAAAATTTTGCTATTTTTATATCAATATTTTCTTTCTGTTCCATATTAGTTGATATTGTGTACGATGACATCAACCGCTGCTTCTTACAAGGTGTTAACGAACTTATAGAAATTCCAGATGCCAAAGAACTTTTTACAACTTGAGCTGATAGTCTAGATATTAGAGATAATGGTCCATCTATTAGAGCAGATGCACTAATATTTAAATCATTATTTGGTAAATCATCACAATTTTTATTTAAATATTTTGACAAATTGAGATTTTCTCTTTCTGTATGCTTGTGTAAAAACTTAAACTTTTTTTGACAATGTTTTAAATGGGGTTTTACTCGTTCTATCTTGTTGCTAATCAAAGCATGACAATAGTCACAAGAAACCTTTGTACTGTTTTCAACTTCAGTCACTTCATCCCATTCTCCAGCTTTCTTTCTCCCACTTCCCATCGGCATTTTTAATTAAAAAAAATATTATTATTAAATCTAAAATAAATCAATGCATATAGGTTTATCATGATTTTTTTTTATTTTTTCACATTTTTAGATTTTTTTTAAACTGTAATTAAAAAAAACTTATTGAAAATAATTTGAGGTGTATAAATTTTAAATACTTATAAAATATATTCTAAATAAACTTAAATAATTAAAAATAAACTTAAATAAGTTAAAAATGATATTAGTTTTCAATATTATTTAACAAACAAAAAAAAATTTTTAACAAAATTAAAAAAAATAAAAACCCAAAAAAACCCAATAATACCCAAAAAAACCCACTTGGCCGGGTTTTTTTAAAAAAAACCTGGGTTTTTGCCAACCCTGATGGTGTATGAAAGAGAACTGGAGTAGAATTATTCGTTTTTTAAGTAGATATCAGATGGAAAGAATACTGTTATAATAACCCTGACAGGAGTGTTAGAGTAAATTGTCGATAATAGTCAAAATTTTAGAGCATGTATGGTGACAGTAGTAGTAAGTAGTTGTAATGTTTATGGTTAACTGGAGTTGTATATTAAATGTTATGTATGACTCTAGTAGTATTATATTAAAGTATATATTCAAATACATATAGAAATGCAAATACATTGAAGAAAATATAAATATATACATAAATACATTATAGCACATATATAAAGACATATACACACACTAATAAACAAGATTATATGTGTATTAATGTAAACACATATGAGTATGTATATACTCACACCTGCGTATGCTCATATATATATAAATATATATATATATATATATATATATATATATATATATATATATATATATATATATATATATATATATATATATATATATATATATATATATATATACATATATATATATATATATATATATATATATATATATATATATATATATATATATATATATATATGTATATATATATATATGTATATATATATATATATATATATATATATATATATATATATATATATATATTATATATATATATATATATATATATGTATATATATAATAAAATAATTTAAATGAAAAAAATACAACTTCATGATGGAACTAAAAGTTTCATGCCATTCGGCAATCATCAGCCATATTATTCATATAAAAAATAAAAACCGTTATAAAAAATACAAATTTAGCGTTGCAACGGCATCTGACGTCAATTGTACGTGATCCGATATTTGCCAATCGCCGGAATCAAAGTTAGATAGTAAAAATTTATTGCTATGCCTACAAGCAGAAACCAATTCACTTTTTATATATATATATATATATATATATATATATATATATATATATATATATATATATATATATATATATATATATATATATATATATATATATATATATATATATATATATATATATATATATATATATATATATTTATTTATTTATATATATATATATATTTATATCCTTATGATTATATATACATATATTCTCCAAAGTATCCCTAAATCATTTATATGTATTATATACATTAAAATAGCTATTTCACACATTTTTTGTGTTGAATAGGTGTTAGAGTAATGTTTTAATGACCCAATCTTATTAAAGTATAACCTTATAGGCATAAATCAACAAACATAGCTTCTAGAAGTACTAGTATAAATATTTGAATGACAAGCATAAGTGTATTGAAATGTAAATGATCAAATTATAGGTGTTTAAATATCCAATTATCCATGTAGAGTCAAGATTACATTCTCATCAGGACCATTAGTTGTCATCAGGGAGTTTCGAAGGTCTGGCGCCTGACCAATGGTCGACACCCTGTGGACACTACCTTGCTAAAATAAAGCACGTGATTAGGTTTTGTAAAACACCAGTATTTTATGATGGGATGATGCTGATAAGATTGAGACAGTAAAAAAATAAAAAAATAAAAACAGAAAATTCAGTGACAAGAAATTTTACCAAAAAAGAATTTAAAAACTACAGGATCAGCCTTAGTAAATTTCAAGGTAAAGTCTGCTAAAAAGATTCCTTAAGGTGTTTATTTTTTCCTGAAACAACATAATCTTACTAAATCATGTTTATTACTTGGAGCAGATAGTACTTCAATTAACACAGGCTGGAAAAGGGTAACGCAGCAGTTAAGATTGGTCGGCTACCACCTAATCTAAGAGAAATTCATTTTAGCCCCTTAAGTCATGCTAGATGGCTCACTACTGGTATGACAATAATCTTTGTGTGAACAAGGAAACATGACTTTACTGAATAGAATTTAAAAAATCTAGAGTTACTTGACTTGTTTTGTTTACTATTTCACTTTGAACTTTTTTTTAACATAAAAGTAAAAGACAAACTTAAAGATGTTTCCTATCACATTCTTTCTCAATTAAGATTTCTCAGAAATCAACGTGATAGGGTAAAAGTAATTGTGACTCCTTACATTTAGTTAGGAGCTTGGTATGAAAGTATTTTAACCTCTGTGTTAACCTGTAATGAGTGCAGAGACCAGTAAGAATCCAATAATAAGTGCAGAACACCGCATTTATTGCTAAGATTGACACCTTTAATAATTCCTTCTGTTAAAAATCATACCCAAAGTACCTAATGCACTGTAAAACAAGTGACAGTAGCATCAATGTTGGTAGTTGGACCAGATGCAAAAGATAGATATATTAGAGCTAGGGCTCAACGTAGAGAGTTGTACGATGTGTTTAAAACATAGAAAGAAATATTATTAGACTTTCAATGTCAATAGACCGGAAAGATGTGTTAATTTGTTTATTGTTTTTTTAATAGTGTTTTATTAGTGTTATTAAAATATCATGTGGGTAAGATAGGTAATAAACCACCTGTTTTTGTTAAATCCACGTCACTAAAACCACTTTTTTCTAATTTCTAAAACAAACACCACCTCTTTATAATTTCTAAAACATTTCTAAACTATTATAAGCAAGTTTTTTATTCATTAAAACCTTATTAAAAATTTAATGCACCTCTTCCTCCCTCTGAAATTCTGCAATGTAGATTCTGCAATTTTAGTGTCAAGTATCAAACTTGCAATTGTCTAAAAAATTTTTTGCATTCAATTTTTTGTAAAATACAATAAAGGGCATACTTTTTTTAAATAAGGTTTTACATAATTTTTCAACTTCAAAAAGTGCAAATTAAGGTATCAAAACCTCATTTGATCAAAAAAATATTTTATATAGAAACACACATTTTCCAAAGCTTTTAAAATGAAAAAATGTTCTTACTGTACCCTATTGTTCAATCAGTATACTGAAGCCTCAAAAATGGCTATTTTCATAAGCTGACATTACTTCATGATATGTATTCTTGAGTTAAATAAATGTATTTTATTTAGAAAAACATTAAAGTAAATATGAGCGGTATATTTTATTCTAACAAAACTGTAGTAATAAGGATTAATGGTTAAAATAAAGGGCATATGATTATTTTTTAATCTAATTCACTCTCAACAAGCCTTCAAGAAAACACTATTAAATTAGGAGTTACTGGAAAACAAAGAGTAAAGTTAAAGAGAAAAGTTAAAGAAACAGTTAGCAGAGTTGAAAAGTTAAAGGTAGTATGAATCAGGAAGACATGAAGATGGGAAAGAGTTTCAAAGGATTGAATTGCAGTAAAAAACTAGATGAATAAAAGGGACAGATACACTAAATATGCGTCTTTGCTAAATGAAAAGTCAAGCAAGAATGAGTTTTGGTTGATAGAACTAGAGATAACAGCTTCTTTGAGCA